TTTGTTGTTGTAATTTTATTAATACGATATTTTTGTAGCAGCTGTGCGTGATCCTTGCGAGTTTGCCGCCCTCAGTCAGATTTCAACGTGTCCCCTTACCGCTTGGTATGCTTTAAAATTATGCGGCCATTTAAAGAAAGCGGAAGAAATGACGGTACATCTGATAGGTGGGTATGAAAAGTCCCGAAAACTCCATTAAAAACCTGAAAGATCCCGAAAAATATAACACCAACAACCCTCAAAAGTCTTGAAAAACCGCAAAGTTCCAAAAACAACCCCAAAAGTAAATCAAAAAGAGGCCCGTAAAAACTGGAGAAAGTCTGGAAGTCCTTAAAAATTACGGAGCATTTCATTATATATGTATATTGTCAATCGCCAAAAAAAAAAATAAAAAATGTCCAATTATACTTTCCTTTCTTGAACTGTTAAGTATTTAGAAATCTACTTAAGCATTTAGAATTTACAATCTTCTAAATACTTTAATTCTATTTACTTTAGTACTAGCACCCCTTAAATACCTAGGTTTTATACTTGAGTATTTAACCACCTTATTAAGAATCTCTAAATACTAATAATTAGTACGGGTACGTATACGAGTAATTAGTATCCAAACAGATGCTTTAAACCCATCACTAATGTATTTTTTAAGCAAAAAAATTACGATGCAGTTTTTGGGTCTCCTGTGAAATTTGAGTGTCGTAAGATAGGCAGTTTTTCGACTGGTCGATGGGCGGTTTTGCAAAACATCGACGATATTTAAAATAACGGGAGATTCCTGAATACTAACAGCTACGGCTCGGAATCTCATGCAAATGCATGTTTTTATTGGGCAATTTCAAACGGAAATGGTTGAGTTTTCTTTACGAATCAGGAAATTTTATTTAAAATGACATTCAAACGTTAGTGCATGTTTTGCAGTAAATGCATAGTTCTGCACATATTGCAAAACATACCTGTTTCTGCATATTTATTGCACATATTTTAGTATATTTTACAATAAACGCATATAGTTTTTGTGTATTTCTGTATTTTTGATTTACAACCATTTAAATTTAGTGCGAAATCTCTTGAAAAAAAAATTACTTATAATTTGTTCCCAAATATTCATCTGAGTATCTTCTCTGATAGCCAAGAAGGCACTCTCTTATACCTCTGTTAGATCTCAACTAGTGGAGGACTGTAGGAGAGAACTGGCCTATATCTCTGATCAATACGAAATTATCCTAATATGGGTCCTGAAACATAAGACACATTTACGGAAACGAGACAGCGGACGAACTGGCAAGGTGCGGCTCCGCACTGAATGTGTCCCACAAACAAAAAATATCGAAATTTATCACTCGAAGGCCAAGAAGAGGTGGAACCGTGAAGGATCGTACAGGATTACCCGGCAGTTCTGGATGTCCTACGACCCACTTAGAATCAAAGCTCTCTTAGGAATGAACAAGGAAGATATCTACAAACTTACTGCAGTGTGCACAGGGTACTGTCCCAGTGTGGTCCATGCAGAAAGGATTGGATTCAACAGGTTGTGTCGCAGTTGCGATGACCCTGGCTCAAAAGAGACAGTTGAACACTTCCTGTGCGAGTGTCCAGCCCTAGCAAGGATAAGGCTTAAGACACTCGGCAAGCCTTTCCTGCAGAATGTTTTAGAGTGCAGCTGCCTCTCTCTGAATGACGTACTGAAATTCATTAAAGCCGCCAGATGGCTGTAGGCTGTACGAGTTGTGGAATCAAAATGGCAAACTTACTAATAGCTTGTCTCCACTTAAATCAACCAAACATTCATCTGAACCACTATTAAACTGTCAATGTTTCTATTTCCCCAAGATTGTGACTGTCTGCTAAATTATAAACTAATTTTATGCATAAATATGTATTGTATTTTGAAGTTGATTGTTCTCGTTATTTTCTTGTTAAAATACATTTGTTATTTATTTTTGTACCGGCAATAAAATATTAGGAAAATATTTTTAATTGCATTGTTTATTGTGCATGTTTTTGAATTTTTAATGCATATTATATGCGCATATTTTCGATTTTTTAGTGTATGCGATTCCGAGCCCTACTAACAGCATTGAATAGAATGTTAAAGTCACTATTCAAATCATTTAACAAATAAACAGATTTTTCACGTTTATTTATAAAGAGTTAAAGAACAAGGGGCTTAATTTTTTTTACCACTCTTGTTTGGAATTGATTACTCTTCAAAATTATATAAAAACGATATTAGTACGGGTATTGAAGAAAAAAATGTTGCTATAGAATCAGAATACATACGTATGTATGATATGCAGTTAAATTTCCTATTGGCAGACTTTCGCCAGTTTACAACCTTATTAAAAAGGGCTAAAGGTGATGGTGGACCTCCAACAGAACTTTAGACCAGGATTGTTGCGAATATTCATATTTCGCAAGCGCCAAGCCTCCGCATTAATTTTAACATTCGCATTACCAATAATCAATGCGGAACTTGCGCAAGTGCACTGATAAAACGTATGGTTAGGTTAGGTTATGCTGGCTGGCCATAAGAGTTCTGACATAGGCGAATATATATGAATAATTGCTTTCACGCAATGTTCCTAAGCTCAGTAAGTTTCCCATCGTATGAACTATAAATAATCTTCGCAAGTCTCCAACCTTGAGTTCTTTTCCAAAGCCTATCTGCATGAGCAAATCTTGAGATCTTGTGATCTCCCGAAGAGGAATCGATATATTTGTCATTAGTGTGCGTCTAAGAGGACGCCCGCCTTGGGCTAGCTCGTCCGTTCTCTCATTATCTTCCACACCCTTATGTCCCGGAACCCAATACATATCGGTGGACGGTTTTAGCCACAGATAGCCTCCTTACACTCCGCAACGGTAATAGAATTTGTTTTATATGAAAGTGGAACCTTAACGGCCGCCTGAATTTCAATGTTAATGTTTATTTTCTCGCTTATCGGGTTAGTTTTATACAGTATCTCTGCCGCTTCCTTTACTACAAATACTCCGGCTTGATAGATACTGTTAGCTTAAAGGTCCTATATATGAATTACTAGTTCGGTGCAGTATACTGCAGCACCTACTCCTTTGTCCATTTTAGAACGTCTGTGTAGATGTGCGCTGCGTTACCTTTCCACTCCGCGCCCTTACGCCAACCGTCAACCGCGGGGGGGTGAAATAACACAAACGGCAATAACGAAAATTTGTGTTATTTCCCAATTGAATGTGAAATAACATGGACGGATTTGTAAGTCTAAAATTTAGAAAGTGCCCAGCGTCTATGGTAGCGCGCACTGCTAACCACTACACCACAGCCACGATGCTATTTTCAAAAAAGATTTATTCTTGTACCGCAATTAACAAAAAAATAAATATACTTTAGAAACACGCTGGAACCTGAAAAGGTAGTAACATTTATTTATATTAAATACATTGCTCCAGTATTTAAATTAAAGTAATAAATAAAATAAACATTATTAAAAACTACTACCTTTTCCAATTTTTAATTGACCTGATGTCCTTACCTAAATTATTTCTTAAAAATACTATGTCTAAAATTCCACATTCGCAACATCCCTACTTTAGAAAACCGGTCCTATTATTAACTGCAATTTAGATAACTTATTTGACGTGCTTTGTGACCCCTGCAAAAATTTTGTCTAGAACATTTTAACCCTCCGAATGCCCTTTATGACTAATAATGTATTTCGGGAGTTGATTTTATTTCCATACGTTTTTTTCTAAAACAGGTGCTGAAATTGAATTCGAAGTTGACGCCATACATAAGTGGGAAATTTTTTTCCTACATATAAATCCAACCACCAAAAAGCTCAACGTAGTTTTCGTAGGGCCTGAGCTAAATCAGGGCAACGTTCCGTTTGCGCAACTGATGAAAACAAAGTAAATATTAATTTGTTGGTTTTTCCGGCAGGATGGTTTAGAGACAAACCGGTTTCGGCATTGCGTCCCCTACAGTGTATGCCGTGCAATAAAGCCATAGGAAATAAAGACATGGAGAAATAAGGCCATATTCACTTTCCCCATGGAAATAAAGCCGTAAGCAAAAATTTGACATATGAGAAATAAAACCACACGTTCTTATTTCAATGCGAAAAGAAAATATTGTCTCTTTAGCGACGGTCCGCGTGTACCCGCCACCCCGTAACGTGCTCGCGCTCCGCGACACCCGTCCTGTTGCTTTGTTCATTCTTCTTGCATAAATTATTTTGTAGAGAGTAAAAACTCATATTTCAAAATTGTTCTCTCTTTTATAAAGCAATCGTATTTCTGGCTAGTATATTTCTGCACGAATGGATAAGGCTTGAGTCAAGAGCTTCGGTGAGCAAATCCAATTTTTGGCAAAAAAATGTCAGTTACGCGGTTTTGCTGAACGAAGATACGCGGTTTTATACGTTAAAGATGATATATGTATAATTTCATACATACCTCAAGTTAATATGTATCTTACCGATTTCAAAGAAAATTTCATATATATACGTACATACATATATCTATACCAGGATTACGTTTATTGTAATTAGGTTTGTTCGTCGAGCAAAAAATTTGTACGAATTTGTACGAATTATCACGATTTTTGCCCAAATCGCGTTCGTGCAGACCAAAAAATTATCCAACACTCAAAAATTGTGAGAGCAAAGTGACAGTTCGCTTGGAGAGAAGTTGCAAATTCTTGCTGGAAAAAATTTTGCAAGCAAGAATTTGCAAACACGAAAAACATGTGGTTGTGGCGCATGGTTGCATTTTTGTCTACAATAATTTGAATAAATTAGTTCGTTAAATTTAAAAATTTATAAACACGAGCGATTTTTTTATGAAAAAAGGAAGTAAATAATTGTTGATATAATTAATTTAGTTAATTCCAATGATATGAACTTAATTCGGCTGAAAAAAATGGTATTCGCAATCGGAATGCAATTGCAACCAGAGTCGATTTAAGAAACCCGACAGCTAGTACGATGAAGAAATTGAAATGTATGTTAAAGAAAGTCAGAACAACAAGAAATATACATGAAAAACCTGTTTTTGACTATCCGAAAGAATTTTAAAAATTCTATAAAAATTTTTTATGTTTGAAATGCAACCGTGGACGCCAGCTGGCAGCGAAACTTGCAAATTCCTGCAAATTTGCGTTCGTGCAGAAATTTGCAAGTTTCTCAACATGAGAGAGAATTTGAGAGAATTTTTTCTTACTCTCTGATATATTGAGTGTTGGATAATTCTTGCTGGATTTTCGACGAACAAACCTATTGTAATCCCGAAAATTGTCAGCATGCAAACCACTATACCACAGCGGCCGCGGTGTAACTGTATTATTTCAAGCTTAAATCAATTTTACATATCTTTCGGTGAAAGTTCAGCTCATTTACTTAACTACAAAACCTCTACAGAAATATCAAAAAGTAGCAATCAACATTTTCTTGATTACGATTACGTTAATTGTAATCATAACATTTTTAGCATTCTTCTTCTTCTTTTTGGCGCGGTAACCGCCTATGCGATTTTGACCGAGTTCAGCAAAGCACGCCAGTCGTTTCTCGCCTGTGCCAACTGACGCTAATTGGAAGCGCCAAGTGAAGCCAAGTCCTGCTCCACCTGATCTTTCCATCGCAGTGGGGGCCTCCCTCTTCCTCTGCTACCACCAGTGGGTTCCAAGTTGAATACTATCGGAGCTGGAGCGTCGGTGTCCATTAGAACGACATGACCAAGCCAGCGGAGCCGCTGTATTTTAATTCGCTGCACTATGTCCATATCGTTGTAAAGCTCATACAGCTCATCGTTCCATCGTCTGCGGTACTCGCTGTCGCCAACGCGTAAAGGCCCGTAAATCTTCCGCAAAATCGTTCTCTCAAACACTCCAAGAGCCGCCTCATCGGATGTCATTGTCCATGCTTCTGCGCCATATACCAGCACGGGCATGATGAGTGACTTATATAGCGTAGTTGTCGTACGTCAAGAGAGGACTTTATTCCTGAATTGCCTACTCAGTCCAAAGTAGCACTTGTTGGCAAGAGTGATTCTGCGTTGGATTTCAATGCTGACATTATTATCGGTGTTAATGCTGGTTCCCAAGTAAACGAAATTCTCTACTTTCTCGAAATTGTAACTGTCAACAGTGACGTGGGTGCCAAGGCGCGAATGTGCTGACTGTTTGTTTGCTGACAGGAGATACTTCGTCTTGTCCTTGTTTACCACAAGACCCATTCGCTTTGCTTACAGTAATCATAGTCCCATATTTTTAAAGATTACAATTATTATAACCATAATGGTAACATTTCTGATTAAAATTAAAGTAATCGTAATCATATATAAGTTAAGGATTACAATTCCGCAATCATAATTGAAATGTAATCGTAATCAAAAATTACCCAGCTCTGATC